AAAAAAATTTTTTTTTTTTTTAAATGAACAGAATTTTAAACAGCCTTCTCAGAACAGTAAACTGTCAAATTAGTGCTTCTATATGTGACAAACGGGTCCATTATACAAGGAGCCAGTTTAACTGGTACNAAAACTTAACCTTTTTTTGGTTTAAAATAATCACAAAAAAAAAAAAAAAAAAAAAAAAAGGACATTTTCATTTCCAATTGAAATATTTTTAAACAGCCTTCTCAGAACAGTAAACTGTCAAATTAGTGCTTCTATATGTGACAAACGGGTCCATTATACAAGGAGCCAGTTTAACTGGTACGGTAGTTCTAAAGTATTTCCCCACCCCCACTCCACCATACAAAGCATCACTGTTATTTCCAATTTTATCAGACAGAGGTTAGATTTTATATAGTTAGGTGATGCTTAAATGATTAAAGCCTTTTGTGCTGAGCCTTGTCTTTATTTAAATTTCCAGCACTTCCTTTAAAATCTGTTAAATGTTTGAAAATAATATAAAAGAAGCTGGACAGGTCAAAAATCCCACCTGCATGCACACATATTGTCATCTTCCTATTATTTGTGTTTTTCACTGAATTCTGTTAATTTTCACAACAATTTCTATGCCCTTACCATGACAGAAACGCCACACCTAATCATTACTAGTGCATACACAAACCTGGCATTAACCCGAGTTCAAACCATCCTTACCATGCCTAAACAGCAGCACATACACACACCTGAGTCTCTAAATCGAGTCATCCTTATTCATCCCCTATTCCAGAAAAAAAGGGTTTCAACAACGATGTCCAATTAATCTCTGACCGCGGTGTGCCAGTTGTCTCCTCTTTCTGCAGTCTGTAACTTTACCCTCAGACCTGATGGACTTCTTTTCACTTGGGTAACTCCTCCAAAAAGACTGCTTCAGTCCCGGGGCCCCTCTCTGTGTCTCAGAGTAACCAAAATCTTATTATGCAATCTTTGTCTGTTTCTTAAGTACCTACTTTTTGCTCACAGCTAAATTACCTACAAAAAGACATCATCTCCTCTTCCAAACATTCTGACTCAGTTTTTATTGACCATTTTTTCCTTTTATATCCAAAAACTATAGAAAAAAACAGATTATTTTTTAAATGCATAATTTATTATTGAGAAATTTTAGTGGACTCTATGGCTCAGACCCTTTCTCTCTCAGTATCAGTGCCCCGGGACAGGGGGTCAGGGAGAGAGACAGCTGGCAGACCTCCCACCAGCCAGGGGGAGAGGGTGTGGGGTTGGAGGACTAGGCTGACCCCAGTCAGATGGTGGTCTGGCTTCCAGGTAACAAACATCTGGTCCATAGATGGGAGGGTGGATGAACATGCGCTCGCACATTAAGAAGTGACACACGCCTGACTGCTCCTGCCTTCTCTAATGAACTCGCTCTCACACACAGAGGCACACACACACACACCCATTGGACTGTAGTTTATTACTCATGAGGATGAAAAGGTTCGCCCCCCAATCAGGCTTTTTTGCACGGGACGGCAACTGGCCGCCCTAGTTGCTAACAGCTGGTCAGACGGAACTCACAGGTAGGTGAGGCTCAGAGGCCTTACAGACACAGTGAGGTCCAATTATGTCTTTACAAGTACAATAAGTGAATAACTGTGCATTAGGAGAACAGAGAAAACAAGTATTAAGAAGAGTATGACTGAAGAACAGTTTTTAAGCAAGAGGAACTTACAGTACATTACCTGATAGAAGAATATTTTCACTAAATAAAGAAGATTAATCAGTTAAAATAGTTACAAAGAGATTGTCATTTGAGCTTTGCGATGTGTTTGGCTTTAACATAATGAAAATGAAATAAAGAGAGCAGAGATAAGCAATGGGAACAGTTTGTTACACCAAGAATGCTCTGGGGACTAAATGGACATAAAAAAAAACACTTTAGGGAAATTACTTTCTTTGTAGAAACTCTGAGAAAAAAAAAAACACTGGACAACAAGTGTCATATGATCTCTCCCCCTTTGTGATGAAACTGTGCCAGTTATTGCACATATCTGAGAAACATGCAACAGTTCAAGGCTTTTTTATTTAAATCAAGGCTTCCTAGTCGACACCAAGAAAGGGCAGTTAGTTCATATATTCAAAACTGGATGGGGTTGATCATCAAGAAAAGTAAAAAACTGAATTCTTTTTCACCTGAAGATCATGTCTAAATTCATTCTGAACAAACATGTTGAAATTCAGCTGTTACTTGCTCATTTGATCAATCATAACCATCTTTCAACTGTTGTCAAACATCAGCTGGCGTTCTGTAAAAGCGTTTTATATTTTAATTCTACACAATATTTCCTCGTTGTTTGGATAGAAAACAGTTCTTTTGTGTATAAATATATATATATATATATGTAACAAATTTCTCCTTAGTAATGAGCCATCTTAAATAATATTGAGGTTTGCAGAATCCTTTGATAACTTGAGACGACAGCTCCCACTGGCTGGCAGTAAAGACGGGCTCTTATGTAGTTGTTAAAGCGTTTATAGTCTGTTTTTTGCAAGAGGTTAAGATGTAAGATCTCAGTTTCTCCTGGATGATTTCACTTCATTTCCCTTAAATGTAATTGAATCTTCACCCTCTATATCCCATTATTCACGTCATTCATTGAGTAAAAAGTTTTTTAAAAATCATCGAAAAACTGTGTCCTCTGTAAAGCCATAAATAGCATACACAGCACACTCACACAAACGTACTCAACTAGGACTGCAACTAACAATTATTTTGCAAACAGATTAATTTGCTGATTATTTTTTCAATTAATCGGATGGCCAGAGATTCCTTAAAGAAGATTATTTTAAAGAAATTAAACAAGACGAAACTAAAACTTTTCCACTTAGGAGATCAGGATAGAGCATATTGACAGAGGAAAGGTCTGCTTTTTTTAAATCTTAAATACAAATTGTTTTTTGTAATTTTGATATAATTACCGTGCTAATTGGGTCGCTCTGTCAGCTAAATTAATGTATTACAGTCTCTATACTCTAGTCAGTTATTAAATATAAAGTCAGAGAATCAAAAATACTGAACTGAGTATCTGTTACAGCAGAAATAAAACAACTTAAAAAGCAGAATTGCAAAAAAAAAAAAAAAAATATATATCTATTACAATTAAGTTTGGCCTGAAAAACTTTCTGTAACTTTGCATATATACAGGTACAACTGTTAGACTTCCAGCCAGAGACAAAGGTAAGGATGAAAAGAGAGAGGAAAAAAGAGGGATGCACAGGAGCTGGGAGACATTAAGACCAAAGCAGCTGTGAAGGGATATAATAAAATCGACCAAGATAAAGTCAGGAAGAGCAGAACTTCCTATGAAAATATTTATCATTCCAGAAACCTTTGGCTACAGAGAGGTTTGGAATTAATTTGTGTTTTCTTAGGGGGGTTGAGGGGAGGTGCCTTCAGCGTACAGGATGGGGAATTCTCCATATCCCAGGACTTTTTGGGCTGCTGCTTATTCACAATTTATTAGACCGGGTAATAAGAACCATGAAGGTTGAGGGTAGAAAAAGGGAGATCAACTAAAGAGGGCCTCGGGTCAGCCATCGAGAAGCAGTCCAGAAATGGGGCCTGGTGTTATTAGGAGAGGAACCACAGTGTTAAATCAAACACAGTCAAGCCCACACGTTCGGTATGTGGTCTGAGCACACCGCTCGGCAGCCTCCAGCAGACCCCTGGATGTTATTTGTGGGGCTTAAAATACAGGAGGTTTTGTAGGATTTACAGCCCGTTGAGAATAGTAACATGATATAGTTGCTATCTTAACTAATATTCTCTTTTTGCTCTAAAGGTTTGGTTCAGATAATTGAAACGGACAAAAAAAAAAAAAAAAAAAATTCTGTGAAGAAAATCAAACATTGAGAGAAAATTCTGAATGTCAAACCAGTCTTTACTTCCTAGCAAATAAACAAATGGCCTGGTGACTATTAATATTTACATAACATAAAAGGGTGATCTTAAACAATCTTGGAAAAATATGCAATTAAGCTCACATGAATTAACAATTGCATTCAGGATTTTATTGAATTTAATTTCTGTATTTGAACGTTAATATGCAGCATTGACTCTGCAGTTTAAGGAAAATGACAGAATGGGAATTTTAAAAAGCAGCTAAGCAGAGGAGTTTTGTTGGTCTGAAGCCATGAAGCATGCCTTTGAAAAGAGAAAAAATAAATATGAATACCAGCTTTGAAAAAAAGTGTGGCTCCCCTAATTTCCTTTAATGATGCCTGATGGAGGTCTGTTAGGGAATTGGGTGTAATCTTCTGTAGTTAGGCAGAAAGCGAGCAGAAAGTTTCACAGTGATTCAACCAGAACCAAGAAAAACAAAAAAGTTCAATTAAAAGTGAAGGCCCTTCATGTACTTCTACCCTGAATCTTTAAACAGCACTCCAAGGGTCAAATAAGCACTTTACTAGTGCAACCTTGGAGCTTTCCTTCTTTTTTTAAGTGAACTCTCAATAATTTTGACTGAAGAATAAACATAATTGTTACGCAATATCGCACATAATTTCAAAAATAATAATAGCAAACTATTATCATTATTATTAATTATGAATTAAATTCCCATAATAATTCAAATTATTTTTTTTAGATGCAAAATGGGGTTACTTACATTACAGTTAAATATATCATACAGTAAATCTAAGAAAACATTTTTTTTCTTTAAATTCCAAGCCAATACAAAATGTGAAACTCATAAAATACATAGGCCATAAATATATATATATATATATATTTATTTGTCTTTTCAGAGTTTTCAAGTTTTTATCAAGATTTTCGTTTATAATAAAATATAAAAGCTATACCTCAACATTTTTGAAGTATGCAGAGGTAAATTTGGCAACGTATTGGAATAATTTTAAATTCAAACCTATTTAAAAAAAAAAAAAAGAAATCAAGTAAGTAAGCGCGATGACTATATTAATAGACAAATATTTCTCTAGGTATCAGAAAAATAACTCACCATTATTTACTACTAAGCAAATGCAGGGACAGTCCGGTATTCAATCAGAGCCGCTGGCGCACCGTGCCATGAGGAGTTCCCCTCTAAAGTGTCCTGAACTGAGCGCTCCTGTTGTCTCGGAGCTCCTCAGTGTGTAAAGAAATTATGAAAAACAAAACACAACAGACGCTCTAGGATTGCAGGCTCCAGGTTACGGTTTTTCTGCAGACGCTCAGTCGGCATCGATTGTATTTCTTGCTCCTCTGCAGCCCCAGAAGGAGTGTTTGCTTTCCCGGCGGTGGGGAAGTGTTAAGTAAATGAGCGAAGATTTTCGGTTCCTCCTCCTCTCCTCCCCCTCCGCCTCCTCCTCCTACTTCTAAACAGGGGGCGCGCGCCGCGTAACACGCAGCTTATTTGAGAATGCGCGTGCCCTCTTTTTATCTAGCTTTTGGCCATTTACATCGTATCTCAGCTTTAAATCCTGTTTGGTTAAGAGCTTCTTCTGTGCGCCTGATTGCGCAGTGAGCCTCCAACTATTCAAAGAGACTCACTGATGCTGGATACTCTGTATTTGCTGCAGATATGAACAGTTCCCACACTGTGCTTCAAGGTTTTAAGGTGTTGACAGGTTTATCAGGACTCAGTTGTCTTTGTTGTTTCTCAGTGTGGGTGTATTGGCCTTCCCCTTTCTAAATCCAGCACATTTACTACAGAAATGCTCTAGAATTGTTGACAAGTGTGAAATTGTGTTTAAACAAGAATCTCGTTTGCATAAGGAAAAAAAAGTAAACATGATAAGAAAACGATCCTTAACAGTAAAAGTTTCGCATTTAATTATTAACCCTATTTTAGAATGTTGAACAAGAGCCTTTGAGATCCATAACAGGCCCCATTCAATAATTTTCTTCAATAAAGTTTTTTTTTTTTTATGTACAGTGTTGACTGAATATATGGCACTTTAAAACAATGCCAAAAAAAATAAATTACTTGGAAAGTAACTTCTCCACATGCTATTATTCTCATACATGTTATTAAATTAGACCCTAATGCTGTTTATATTAAATCACATATTGTTGTCATTAATCTTGTTGTTATCTTGTTATAGCACTATTATAAGCTAATATTTTCCTTGGATATTGGAGCTGCAATACATATTCTATCATTTTTTGAATTGTTTTAATTGATGTTTGTGACCTTTAGGTAAAAATCGATGACTTCAATTTGAACGTATGAAAGTTGGTTTAAAAAATAAAGCAATAAAAAACAAATATGTAATTGTTTACTCAAAACCTATGTTTCAGTTTGAATGTTTAGAACTGTAAATATATAGTCATTTGTTTATATTGCTATTTTTCTTTTTCATGTTTTATTACTGTTTTTCAAGGCTGCACTTTAAAAATTGTCTACAAATTTATTTTTGTATACACTCGTGTAGACAAAATGACAAATGAATCTAAGTGTAAGTCTAGGTTTATGCTGACTTAGCCTTATATATTATTATACTTTAAGGTTAGCAAAACAGGCTGCATGGATGTGGGTCTTATCAACACCTGCTGAGCAGGAAATCAGTATTTGCCTCATGTCCGTTAGAGTGTAACCGCCATTTCCAAAAGTTCCCTTAAAATGGAGGAAAGGTGGTGCAGGTGTGTCATCCACTGAATATGTGTGTATTCATATCTGCATCATGTTTTCCTAGAATTTTTACTATTGTCTCTGTGTATTTTCTGTAACTTGAGAATGCCCATTTGGCCACAAAGAACTGGGACTTTGGAGGAAACAGGTCCTCTTGAGCAGGGATAACAGGAAGGTCGGTTGAAGTCATTCTCACAGCAACAGACATGGGATATGTGAGGGCACCTGGGTGAAGATTCCTGCTTTTCACATCTGTTATGGCACTGACATGACTAGCCTTTTAACATTGAAGGAAAAATTACATGTATCAGGGTTTTATGACTTCAAAGAATTATGAATAATTCAATATTTTCCTTAGTTTTGATTTGCTTTTTCTAATCCAGCTTATAAACTGATTAAAGTCATATAACATGCAGTATGTGAGAGCAATGTCTGTTTTTGTCCTGTTATTTATATATTCATGTTTAAACATTCTAGATATTAATACCCTATTTAAAGACAAAAAATTAATTACAGAAGTTTTGTTATTTTATGTGTACCCAGCAGAAATATCTGTGGTTAAACACTGCTTTTTACCAACAATTGTTTGAGTGTCCCATAAGGCATAGATCTGTCTTAGGTGAAAAAAAAAGAAATCAATAGCAAAGATAAGGATAGAGATGTATATATATATATATATATATATATATATATCTACCGGTATATATATATATATATATATATATATATATATAGCCATAAATCAAAGCTGACAAACCAGACATGATGCAAACATTAAGTATCCCAATAATGCATGACAAGATTTGCATTCTAATTGATATGTCAATATTTTGTTAAAGGAAAATATCTGCAAAATGTCCAAACAGCACTTGGAATGTTTAAATTAAAGTTTACACATGTTGAGGTATGACTTTGAGTATAGTAACTATACCAGCGATCATTATATAATTGCACAACTCATCAGGGACAAAAGATCCCAGGCAGCATGAGATTCTCCATTCCAATATCTCTAACTGGAATTTTCCCCTCTCTGTAAGAGAAGGCTTTAACATGTCAGTAGATTTGGTTCCTTAGAGGGAAGAAAAGGACTAGAGCTGCTTTTAGAAGCTCTTTTTAATATCTTTTTGGATGACGATTGTCATCAAAGATAACAAGGCTTGTTTTTTATGGAATTGAGATAGTGATCCACACCATCACACTTCCATCACCAAAAATATAATGTGCATAAGAATAATAATACAAAGAATAATAGTTTTTCTTCTGATTATCATTTACAATGAAATGCGTCTCTAAGACCAGACATTAGTCTAAAAGGTATTGTTTTATCAGTTATTACTATTATTGTGAATAACTGATTTATGTTTATTATATCAATTATGATATATTGTTTACATTTGATCACAGCTGCACTATATGGAATGGACATTTTTGAAAGCTGTACAAAATGAAATTTCGTTTTGTATATACTCTGTGTATACAAAATCATGATAAAAGTTGTCTAAGTCTAATATGGATAGGGAATTCATGCTACCTGTCCAGGGTGTACCCCGCCTCTCACCCATAGACTGCTGGAGATGGGCACTGGCCCCACTGCAGCCCTAAAATGTACTAAGCATGAGCGTATGGATTGTTGCCCATTAAGTTTTCAAAACTAAAAAGACTTTTTTTTCCTATTTATTTTGCGCATGGTGTCTACCTGATATCTATTTAAATGCATTTCTACGTATATTTATCATGTCAGTGTAACCCAGGGTGAAAACTGCCCTTAGTCCCGCCTTACTGCCCCATTGGTTAGAGTGACAGTCAGTCACACAGTGCATGCAGCCAATTGACACACCTGAGGCAATTATTTAGGCTTGCTCCAGCTTTCCCTAGTCTGATGTGAGGGGGAGAGCTGGAGACAAAGGAGCTACAGGTTGGTGTTCCCAAACAATCAGTTTATCTCTTTGTTTGTAATGCACTGTTTAACCTCACAATATAAAAATCATGTAGATCCGAGAAATCATGTGAGTTTGGAGCCTTGGAGCTGCCATACTCTCATCTATTATTGTAATTGGTGAGTAGAGAGCACAATGTTTGTTGTTTTAGCATGTTGGTGGCAGCAAATGCTAAGTGTGATCATTAATTGTTGTAATCCAACTTTAAGATAATGAGATAAATGTTCTTTATTTGGTCTGATAGATTAGATATTGCATTTATTTCTGTGTGAAACTGGAACAGTCTAGTTAACTAGCCGGCTGGAAATTTACTGGTCCTGTTTATTTTAATACAGGCCAGGTGATCCCTTTTTAGGGAAAAAGATGGCGAGCTTCTGGAAACTGGCTGGAGCCAGGAGAGCCTTAAGAATCACTCCACACTGGACTGGTCTGTATCATTTCCCCCCTTCATCTCACCACTCAGGTATACACTCCATTATTCACCTCTTCATCCAAAACAACTTGCGTTGGGACATTCTTCAACTTAAATATCTGGATAATCCAACCATGGATTTCTGAATGTGTGTCGGTCAGCCTCTGGACCGATCAGTGGGGAATTTAAGACCAGTTGTGCACGAACAACAGAAGGATTGCCACAGTACTGTGTATATATTTAT